TTGCTTTGCTTTCAGAAACTAATTGACATAGATCTGAAAACCCAAGCTCATAGGTCCAGATGGTTAACTCAACCTCCTTAGCAAATCCCAATGGCTCCTACCTTGGACTGAAATTCCTTAGCCAAGGCTCTAAGTCCTGCTCAGGTCCAGGGTGTATACATAAGCACCAGTGACAGTTCACCTCTCCCTGTAATAGGTTTCTCCTTAAAGAGAGCTATAATCACCTCTGATTTTTTCATCCTTCTTCACAGGGGAAGAGGGAAAAGCAGGAAGTGGAAGAGACAGCATCTGCACTAGGAATTCAGATAGAAGAGGATACGTGGGAGGAGCAGAGGGAGAGTGTGTCAGTGCTAGTGGCCTCTTTAAATTCCAATATAGTGTCAAGCAATTTCTTGTTGGTTTCCTGAAAAGAAGTTACTTTACTTTATGATTTCCTCTTTCAGAAGCTTCTAAATACCAATCACATAAGCATTCCATTCAGTATGTTTGATCTTACAGCCAGCTTTTTCTAACTATGCACACAAAAATATCAATTTTAGAATATTAAAGGAACCCTAATTTGGCCATTTTAGATTGAGATCTCCTTTAGTATAATTTCCCCAGTTAAGTAGGTACTTGCAAGTACTACATGAATCTGGCTGGGGTGTTAGTGGGAGGTTGTTTTCTGACACCCCTCATTTCTCTGAAAGACTCTATTTCCCATTTTAAAGTTGAATTTATCAGGGATAAAAGTGAAATTTTATCCCTGACAAAGTCAGTTGAGGTAGCCAAGTTGAGGAAAAGTGTCAGCTCAGCCTCTTACCTAACTACTCAGTCCAGACCCTGGCATCTTTCAACCAGGCCCCATCCAGCACCTCTCCAATGGGTGGGGATTTCCCTCTAGTGTCTCTCAACTGGAGGGCCAGGTACCTGGATACACCACCAACGAAAACTCAGGCTCATCAACTAATATGGGAGATTCGAGAACCAGGAGAGACTCACCCGAATTCATCTGGACATCCCGAGGAGGTGGATGGGTGCAAAGGGCCTCTGCTGGTACCAAGGCTCAGGTTCCTCGCAGAATTCAGGCAAAGGGGAGAAGTCTGCTCTGGGTCCCTTC